TTTTTTTTAATGTATTTAGTACAGGGTCTCACTACACAGATCAAGCTCATAATGATCCTCCTGTTTTCAGTCTCCCAAGCGCTGAAGTTAAAGGGCTGCACCGCCATCACAGTCTCAGCATGCCCAGGGGGCGGGGCGGCACAGCACACTGGGGAATTGAGCCTCCTAAGAATATGATTATATGAACCTGGAACTATGTCACATTAAAATACGCCATGGGAGAAACATGGGGCTGCCCCTTGGTTTTTTTAATTGTATTTAGTACAGGGCCTTCAGGGTCTCACTACGTAGATCAGACTCACAGTGATTTTGTTTTTAGTCTCCCAAGTGCTGGGATTACAGGTGTGCTCTACCCTGCCCAGTCTCAACAGCCCTGGGGGGGAGGTAGTACTGCACGCCAGGTATCGAACTCCAGCCAGTGTTCTACCGCGCTCTACCTAAGTAGGCGCTTTAGTCCGCTCGGCTATCTGACCGGCTCTAATGGTTCACAACCCTAATGGTTCTGAGTCATCTGTTTCTTCAGGTTCAGCTCCTTGCTTTGAGCACATATATCCCAGGAGGCTGTGTGTAGCTGAGACTTTCCAAGACACCAAGGGTCCCTACTATCACATCCCTTTTTTTTGTCCTTCAGGCTGGCCTCCAACTCAGTGTTCCTCCTAGCTCCGCCTCCCAAGTGCTGGGATTATAGGCGTGCACCACCATACTCAGCACATCCCTGCTTCTCAAAGGCTTGCCAACCAGGTGACCTTCACTTGCCAACCGGGTGACCTTTTGAGGCTCAGGAGCTATGCTGGCATTACTCTTCTATGTTCAAAGCTCTGGGGAAGTCTAACAAAATTCTTCCTGAGGGGGGAGACTTTTTGTACCTCCTTTCTTCCAGCATCCACAGACCACCTCTCAAGCTGAGGGTTCTAATGGACTCAAATTATTTCCTTCCAGAACACAAAAGCTAGGACCCTTGGGGATTACTACACAAGTGGGCTTGAAATAAACTGCAAGACCTACAAGTTTGTTTCCAGCAGAAGAGTTTATTTATATTTCTTTATTTAAGAGTAGGAAAATTTACTGGAGAAAAGGAATAGGAACTAGGAATACCTCCTAAGAGAAAGGAAGGGTCCCAAATGGGTTGCCCCAAGAATATAATTTAAAAGGCAATTTTAAAAAATGAAAAATTGGGAAGAGCACATGGCTCAGTGGTAGAGGATTTGCCTAACAGGCAAAGAGCTGTGGTTTCAATCCACAGCACTGAGAGAAAACAAAAGCCATCAAAACAAGACTTCCCGTTCATCTCTAGCCAGAGTCTTCATTAGGAGGTTGACAATTAAGGGCGAGACATCAGGAAACCACATATCCGTCAAGGAAGACAACTTGGATCTTTTAGCATCCATCTAGAAGCCTGCATTATTTATAAACCAAGGACAGCTTGGCAGCACTGTAAACATGAGCCTATGAGGGGCTGGGCCTGGAGGAGAAAAGCAGGACAGGGCCTCTCAGGGCTGCACGGCCACCGCACGCTGTCTTCTGACCAGACCATCGTTGCCCTTATCACACTCCTGCCCAGGCCTGGCTGAACGGCGCCTGACCACAAGTGCACACTGCATGATGGTCTGGTGGCTTGGTGTCGAAGGGCTCAGCATCTTTCTCTGTGCTTAGGGTACCAAAGAAGTCAGTCCCAAGCAACTCTGGGATGTCCATAAGGCTGAGGAAAGAAAGAAACAATCAGATCAGCAGTCTCTGCAGCACTGGGAATTACTTTCAGAGGCTAATCACTTTAAGAGTGTAATGCATGGTACAAAACGATGACTTTCGCGTACAGCTGAAGAAAGCTTTTGTGCTAGGCCAGAAAGAGGCTCTTTATAACTTGCCCTAAGAAGCATCTTCCGATGTGCTCCATGAAACCCTGCTCCTGAGATACTCAGGAGGTTAGAAATGCTCTTCTTGCATCTCTGAGTCCTCTGTATTAGGGCACAAACATTCCATGGCAAATGCAGGGGCTGCTCTTTCACATGGCTCCCCAGTTACCAGACTATGAAGCCGCCAGCCCTCTCCTCTGCAGCACGTTTTCCTGCTCTAGGGGCCCTGGCTAAGGGTGGGCAGAGGCCTTGATCCCCAGCACCCTTTGCTGCTCTAGCTCCTCCCCATGGTGCCTTCTGCAGAGTCACGCAAGGACCTCAAGGTACAGGAGGAAAGGACAGCACCAGGCAGAGGGGACTGGTCAAGAGGCAGGCAAGCAGGTATTGTGGCTTCACTGACCAGTAGCTGGGACTTGGCTCACTGTCACCTCTCACTACCTGTAGCCCTGGCTCTTTTTAGAGCACTGTCCTTTGTCCTCAGATGGGGTGGATGGGCACACAGCTCACCACAGCAGCGGCAGCCAAAGAAAAAGGACTTGGAGGACTGACTGAAAGCTAAGCCAGGACTGAACCAGAACCTGGGTGGAGGCTGCCTGCCAGTGCAGTGAGAGAAATACAAGTAAAAAGGAACAAGGAAGGACCAGAACAGAGAGTGGAGCTGGGCACAGGGTTGTGGTGGCCCATCCCCTGCCAGCACCCACCTTGGGCCGGTAGCCCTGCTCAGCCATGATCTTGGCCTCCTCCTGGAGCAGAGCGTCGGAGAGGTGCTCTGCCTGCCTGGCCTCCTCCTCCTCCGCCTCTGCCTCCTGGTCTGCTTCCCACGCCTTCAGCTGGCGCTCTGCAACCTGCCCACGAAGGACAAAGTTACCTAAGACAAGGCCCTGGGACAGAGCCCTGCCTCAGAGCAGAGGGGATGCCTGTGGTTCTCACTGTACTGGAAGAAGACAGCTAAGGGACAGTGATGGCAGGAACCAGGAATGGAGCGGGAGACGGGACTATAACAGGCCACGTGGAGCGCTGGAGGGTGCAAGCATCTGGGAGAACACTCTGGTTACTCGCTGTGAACCCCTACTTCCCCTACTTACAGATGCAGACAGCACAGAGAGCCAACAGCAACGCTGGCCTGGCACCCACAGAGGTAAGAGACCCGGGGTGGAGTGTGGCCCACAGTGAAGAGGGCCAGGCCCACGCAGCGCCTGTCAAGGGCCTCTGATCCTGTCCTGGGACCAAGTTCCCTCCGCCCCACGCCTCAGGCCCACCTGGGCCTCCAGCTCCTGCTTCCTGGCCGACTTCAGTTCCTCACACTCCTCTTTCACCCGCCGTGCAGACTCTCTCGCCTCTTCAAGACTTTGAATGAGCTGCTCCCTGTATTTCAGGGATTCCTCTTGTGCCCGTCGGTTCTGCTCAATCTTTTCTTGTATTTGTTGTTGCCTCCCTGTCAGAACCTGTCCTCAGCAGACAGGAAAAGGAAGAGTTCCATTCAAATCACACAGCCTGACATGAGCTGCAGACACACCAGCCCAGTGCTCGGCTCAGGCCATCATCCACAGGCCAATCTGGACTACTGGACTCGGTCAGTCGGTGTCAGCCACACTTGCCCAGTATAAGAAGTGTCCCCCCAATGAACCCTAACGCTAGGTTGGGTTATTATGGGGAGACAGCCGAGTGCCAATATGGCAAGGGACTCAAGCTGGACTCCCCATGCAGGAGCAGAGACCCTTACAAGAACAAAGTGAAGCTCACCCATCAGTGAGCCCCCCAAAGAAGGGGAAACTCACAAGCCTCACTGATGATAAGAGGTAGAGTTGGGGTTGCCCTCCTGACCTGGATTTAAGTCTACTCCACCAAGTAACAGAAACATGCTATGATTAAATACCCACCACCAGCCCAGACCTCCGCCAGGACTCGGGAACCAGGAGGTTACCAGCTATGCTCTCAGGAAGGGACACACAAAGTGGCCAGGATTGGGGTTGTGAGATTTAAACAGGGAAAACCAAAACTTGTGGGGAGGGCTGGGGAGACAGCTCA